CTGAAACCGTAATCACCAGGGCACGACCCAATAAGGACAGGTGACGCGTGTATTCCCATTTAAATATCCTTTGGCATACTTTTTCCTCCAAACGTTGATCTTGAAACTCTGAGTTGTCCGATAGTGAGACTTGAACTCCAAGGTACCTGTCTGATGTATCTGTAGGTATACGCCGCATCCCCCAGTCAACTTGAAGTTGAAACTGAGTGGGCAGAAAAAACACTGACTTTTTCAAGTTTATTGAGGCCTCAGATAGTATAGAGTATTCGTTTAAAATATTACGAACCGCCATCAATGACTTTCTTTCGTTCAAGCAGGTTATTGTTAGATCATCTGCCAATGCCCCCCCTTTCCATTGGAAGTTGTTATGCAGTTCCAGACCTGTGATCTGTTCATCATGTCTTATGTTATCCAACAAAACTTCTAGGTGCGAGACGAAAAGAAGTGGGGCAAGGGGGCATCCTTGTCGCAGCAAACGAGATAGACTGAATTCATGGGAGAGCCGGTTGTTCACCAACACTTTCGCAGTTGATGTGGAGTACATTACTGACACCCATTTACAGAAGTTTGGCCCAAAACCCAAGTGGGTTAGCATTGTTCTTACAAAGGCCCAGCCTGCCTTGTCGTAGGCTTTCTCCATATCTATCAATAAAATAGCGACATTCCTGTTTTCAAGTGCTATCACTTCCAATGCTTGAATAGTGGCGACTATATTATCCAAGATTGATCTATGTTTAACAAAGGCTCCCTGATCAGGTTTCACTAACACTGGTAGGTATTTCGCTAGGCGTAAGGCCAGAGCTTTAGCTAAGATCTTATAAGAGACATTTAGCAACGAAATCGGTCTCCAATTTCTAATGTCAAGCTTGTCACCTCTTTTATAGAGTAATGTGATTATACCTTGTTGCATTCCCTTAGATAGAGATCCCCCAGTCAATACTCCGTTGTAGATTCCCACCAGTACTGGGCCTAATGTATCCCACAGGGCGGTGTAAGCTTCTACCGGTAGTCCATCAGACCCAGGACACTTACCAAGGGTCATCTGATCTACTGCGTACTTAATTTCTTCAGTTGTGAAAGGACGGTCCAAGTCCAGTTTTCCTGCCCCCGACAGTTGTGCACAGGTTCTGGTCCAGAAGGACGAGGACCTTCTCCGGTCTGTATCAAAGGACTCGTTCGGCCGTCTCGTAGTCAGAATGTCCTCAAAGTATAGTTGGGCATATTGACACATACCCAACGGATCTGATTTTGTGGGTGCAGTGGTGAAAAAGGGGTGGGAGAGTTCACGAACTAAGGGTTTCGTCTTCTGCAAAATTAGTCTTCTGAAGGTCTCCCGATTCGTTCTGTCATTCGTGACGATACCTTTCTGGTATAGCCACTCTCTCCATTTCTCTTGCTGCATGATTTGCAGGTTGTCCACTTCCGTAAGTGCCTTCTTTCTTATTGCCGTCCAATAGGCATCTGATATGGGATGTTTACCAAAGTTATTTTCTGCCTGTTTAATCCTGTTAGTCCATTTTTGTTATAGTTTCTTTGTTTCCACCGCCTTGATCCGTGAAAAAACTTCCAGGTAATTTTTCATTATATTCAATCAAGTCTCGAACCAAGACTCTGTGTCTGAAAACAAATTGCGAGCTCCCTGCCATTTTTCCCAGTGTTTTTTTGCCCAGTCAAGCAGTTTCTCATCTTTTAGATGTTTCACGTTTAGGCGGAAGGGAGACCTTCCAGCGTTAGAGGGGGTTTGGATATCTAGCTCAGCTGTTACGGGATAATGATCAGATACCGAGGCAGTGCCTATTTCTACCTTCATGCATCTATCCCAAAGTATACCCCTAACCAGGAAAAAATCAAACCTTCGCTTGACCGGTGAGATCTGAGAACCATGCCATGTGTATTCTTGTGCCTCTGGGTGAAGTGTGCGGTAAGCATCAATTAGTTGTTGTGACTCCATCAGTGCACAAAGTAAGCGCCCATCCGCACTTACTGGTTCGACCTTTGGCGAGTCAAGTCCTGGGTTCAACACAGTGTTCCAATCTGCTGCAATCAGCAGATTAGGACTGTTCGGTAGGATCGCAGGGAGTTCTGCTAGGAAGGCAATTCGTTCATTATAAGTAGCAGGCACGTAGACAAACATCATCGTTCAGACTTCTTGAAAAAGTTCGAATTGGACCCAAACCCAACGGCCCCATACATCAGCCATCCAATCTGTGACACATATGTCCAGATCTCTGTGAAACAGTATTCCCACCCCCCCCCTGGTACCCCAAGCAGGGGACCAATATTGAGGTCCCGTCCACCATCTGATCCCAGCGAGTCGATCTTCATCTAGTTTGGTTTCTTGTAGACACATTATGTGTGTCTTTTTTTCGTGCATCCAAGTTTTCAAGGGTTCCCTTTTCCGGCGAACCCCGGTATCACATAAACCGCAAACATTCCAAGTTGTAATATTAATTCGGTGCGTTGGGGCCATTTGGCCCTACTGCACCGTCATTCATTTGGATCCGGTTCATGGTTGAGGAGGAGCTCTTGGGGTCCTTACCTGCGCTTCCCCTACTTTTAATAATAGTGAAATCCCATGGGAGGYGCAGGTAATTGATAAAAGAGGACCCCAGGAGAACCTCTCTCTGCGAAGCTGTTTGGAGCCRTTCGGCCAATACAGTGGCGGAGATATCATTTGTTATTCTGATCTTGCTTAACTTCTCATTTATCACTGTCGAAAGGTGCACCATCGGAGTCCAGGTGTACCCCGCCTGTTCCATGAACTGGATCTGTGTATCCTCTACTTTCCCTTCCATGCAGACCACGTAGATCCTGGCATGGGGTTCATTATTTCTCTCTGCAGTATAAATACCCATGTTCATATTTGGGATCATCCAGACCTGTAATCCTTCGTGAACCAAGTTCTTCACCTTTTTGGTGACGAAGGATTCTGTCAAACAGTCATCTCTACTCAGTAATGTGGAAGGCATGGACACTGTACCCCTCTCATGAGTTATAGTTAAGAAGACCACCTGCTTGTCCCCAACCACTGAGATAATTGGAACGAGAATCCTGGGGATCGCCATTTGGTCCTTGGTCAATGACTTGACTGGACCTGCGGCTGATAGTGAGACGTGATTCTTCCGAACGGCACCCCTCCTTTCCAAGGATTCCCTGCTAGAGTCGGAATTTTCCTTGTCATTCCTGTTTTGTTCCTGAGATCCTGGTTCCATCATGATTCTGGACCTTTTCAGCGGGGAGGAACTCGGACCCTTGGTGGTGGTGGCGATGCTCTTTCTCCCACTGTCCTCCGAACCTCTGAGTGCCTCTACCTCAGCAGCATCTATATTAACCTTATTGACCAGGCTTTTATGTGCATCTTTCATCTCCTTGTCAGAATTCACCGATCTGCCTGTTGAAGCGGGTGAGGGTAATTTCTGCAGAGATTTCTGCTTTGAAGAAATACTATTCAATCGGGAAAGTTTCTCAGATTTACTTGTGGAAACTTTTTCCTTCGAATTTTCTTTCTGTTTCGTTTTGAAGGGTCCTTGAGGGTCTGTCCTAGAGCCTGAAGTGTATTCCTCCCCCTGATTTCCCACGCCCTCGTTTCTGGTATCGGTTCCATCCCGTCAAGGGTGGGGTTTGACCCAAAGGAAGTTCATTCTCGTTTTGCAGATTTCGAGAGTGGGCTGGCCATGCCAAGTGTATGCTGGCGAATCGGCGGGGAAGTCGAGAGGCGACATGCGATTGCATGCAATTGCACATTGCGAATTTCTGATTGCATGTTAGCACTGTCACACTGTGGGCCTCGCTGCACTACTCTCGACATGCACAGACGACAAAAATCATGGCGGTGCATCTTTCCATATTCTAGCGGAAAATTCACTCTCGTTTTGCACATTTCGAGAGTAGTGCGAGGCCCTGTCGCACTGGCACACTGGGCCTCGCCACACGACTCTCGAAATGCGAAAAAGACAAAAATGTGACGGGCACATCTGGCCATGTTCTAGCGCGAAGTTCATTCTCATTTTACACATTTCGAGAGTGGTGTAGCGATGCCCACTGTCACGGCTGCTCAGTGCCCATAGTGTTCAGACACGAGGAGACGGGCACGAGACACGAGCACAGAGAGACAAACGAGGCACAGTGAGATACAAGCTCACAGGTACAGAGAACATAACACCACGCCCTGTACGGTGTCAACGACAAACGGCGACTTGACGTCATAGGGCGGTGTCCTATCCGGAAAGGGAAGGCGCTTTGGCGGGGAACGCCCGTCGTCCCAGCACATAGCAAGGCATGCGATAGTGAAGGATAGCTAAGGACAGCCTCCTGGAGCTATTATTATAGATGCTATTGTAGATATAACGTGCTATAGGTGTGTGTTGTGTAGGCGGCGAGGCGGGTGTGTGGTGGGCCAGACTTGTCGGGACTGGATAGGAGAAGGGAGGGAGGGCCGGGCGGGGGGCACGGGGCCGGGGGAGGAGGAGGGCGAACTTGAAATGAAGATACTAGGTAGGTGTCTGGAGGGATTGGCGCGCAGAGCACGAGCCGTCGTCTGGGACATCGCCTTGAATCGCCGACCGTACAACGATAAGCACGCGGAAAGCGTTTTTCAGCTGATCGCTTACGTAGAGTGAGAGACAGGCGAAGGTGGCGGAGGGGAAGAGGAGGAGGAGGAGGAGGAGGGGAGTGGGCGGGGTTGGGCTGGGTTGTTTTGTGCGGTCTCCACTGCGGCTGCTCGGCAGATTAGTGTCCGCTGCAGGCCGGTGTGCCCGCGGGTCGCTGTGGCAGGTGCAGCAGGGAGCTGCACCAGCTGCGCCGGTTTGACTTGTTGCCTCTCTCTCTCTCTCTCTCTCTCTCTCTCTCTCTCTCTCTCTCTCTCTCTCTCTCTACTTGTCTCTCGTTGTGTGTTACTAAACTGCCGGTTGCTTTCCATGACGGGGAGAGACTGACCCGCCGGTCGGTGCAGGTGCGCTGAGTGAAAGGGTGCGGCGGTCGTGTCTATTATCCGCCGCGAGTCGTTCTCTTCATCCATCCTCACCAGTCGTGGCCCAGCGCTCATCCCCTTCTTTTTCCTTTGTTGTGTAGGTGCCATCGGTCTGTATGTTTTTACCTACCTAGCTATGCAAGCTTCCATCTCGTTGTGAAAGCGCGGCCGGCGTTATTCCCTGCTTCAGCAACTCTCGATCGTTCTCATGGGCCGTTTCTTCCTCCCTTAGCCCGTCCTTTCGCTTTCTCTCCGTTTTCCGTTTTGACTGTTGGTGTCCTCGCGTAATGCGCGGTCGCCCGTGAAAAGGGGTGTCCCACCTTCTCTGGGATTACTTGCGCTGGGTCGAGNTTTCCGTTTTGACTGTTGGTGTCCTCGCGTAATGCGCGGTCGCCCGTGAAAAGGGGTGTCCCACCTTCTCTGGGATTACTTGCGCTGGGTCGAGTGGGTGACCTGTCAGCATCACTATCACTAGAACGCAGTGGTCTTTTAGTTTTCGAGGCCATACACTTGTCGTTGGGTGATTGCTCTGTGTCCAGGTGTTCCGCTCGAAAGCGCATTTTTTCTCATCATCTGTCTCCCTCCCTTTTCGTCCTTTTCGTCTCGTTCACACGAGTGGCGGATATCCCTCTTCAGCGACAGCCGCCCCTGACACGTTTTCGCCCGCTGTCTGTTCTTTTGTAAGTTGTTTGTTGAATAGACGACTCCAACTCCAACGTACGTTTTGCTCCCCCAATTGACGTGTGTGGATGTGTTGCGCAATTACCCCCAAATTGTCCACTTGAACCTAGACTTTCTCTGCCCTCGTTCCGCCGCTAAATGTGCGTGCGTGTGTGTGTGTGTGAGGCTTGATTTGTTATTTTATTTGACGAAGGAGAGAGGAGGGAGAGGAGGAGCCGAGAGGGGTGAGGAGGAGGAGCGGAGAGGGGTGAGGGGGAGGAGCCGAGAGGGGTGAGAGGGAGGGGAGTCGTAGTTGCTGGTGAGAGATGGCTATCAATCCGTTAATGAGGCGACCTCCAGGAAGGAATGGCGGGCGAGGTAACAAAGTCTGCGTAGCAATTTGCAGTTCATTGGTGCTTGTTCTTTCGATAGCTCTGTACTTTACTTCGTCATCAACTCTGTGCAATGTGGGGCATTTGCCTACTCCGAGTCAGTATTATAGGATTAGCTTGGATGCGGAAGAAGAAGGTGGCGATGGCGAGTCGTCTTCTCAGTTCCGGATTGCCACAATCCCCATTCCTGAGGGGGGCGAGGGATGGAGATCTATATCGAAGCGGCTGGTCTACGTTGACAAACGCGACCTAGATATCCTTAGGTCAAGAATTCCTGAGGTGCTGGCTGCTGCCAAGGCCAGCGCGAAGAGATTGGTGTCAGAAGATGGCGCGGGGAGGAGCTTGGACGGTCCTGATGATGTGCCGCCGCTAGTGAAGGAGGGATTGAAAGCGGACCGAACTCTCGTCGATGGCGGGGAGGAGGAGCCGGGGCAGTTGCTCGAGCCGGAAGAGACAGGAGACGACGGCAGGGCAACTCCGCGCCAAACTCGCATGGCAGCCGGTGATAACGAAGCGCAATCGGAGTCGAACGGCGGGAAAAGCGGTGAGGACGCGCAGGCGGAGGACCAGAGCGAAGCTGGGACCTCGTCGGTGGCGGCGGCTAACGATGACGGCACGAAAGAGGCTACCGAGGAGGGGGAGGAAGCGCGGGATACCAGCGCAACGGCGGAGGGTGCGACTGCGGTGGCGGAGGCGGAGGCGGAGGCGGAGGCGGAGGGTGTCGAGCTCGTGAATCCCCCCGAGGTGGTCGCTATCCCCAACGACGATCCACATCACCCGTCGAAGGTGAAGACCACCTCCGAGTACCTGGAACTGTACGCGACGAAGCCTGATGCTAGTGGCAAGACGTCGCTTGCCATCTGCGGCCAGAAGTTCTTCGAGGTCGTCCCTTGTCTCGACCGTCAAATTCATAAGCTCATGGATTTATCGCTCGATTACTCGGTCATGCAGCACTACGAACGCCATTGTCCGACGGAAGAATTGCGGCTCCGCTGCCTAGTCCCGCCGCCGCCGGGGTACAAGTTGCCAATCAGGTGGCCGGAGAGCAGGGACAAGGTATGGAGGGCGAACGTGCCTCACGAGTTCTTGGCCAAGGAGAAGCAAGACCAGCACTGGATGGAGGTGGAAGGCGAGACCGTCACTTTCCCCGGCGGCGGGACTCATTTCCACGACGGCGCGGCTAAGTACATTGAGAGCTTGGCGGATATGTTGGGCGAGCCGAATTCGAATCTGAGCATGGGGGGCAACATTCGGACCGTGCTGGACGTGGGCTGCGGCGTGGCGAGCTTTGGAGCGTTCTTGCTTCCGGTCGGAATCATGGCCATGTCCATTGCCCCCAACGACGTGCATCAGAACCAGATACAGTTTGCACTCGAAAGGGGTATTCCTGCAATGCTCAACGTGTTGGGCACGAAGAGACTCCAGTACCCAAGTAAGTCGTTCGAGCTCGCACATTGCTCCCGTTGCAGGATCGACTGGTGGGCGGGCGACGGGAGACTGCTGGTAGAGGTGAATCGCTTGCTCCGACCTGGGGGTTACTTCGTCTGGTCTTCACCTCCAGCTTATTCGCACGACCCGGAGGACGTCAAGAACTGGGGCTTGATGAAGGATTTGACCGACCGCATGTGTTGGAAAGTAGTCGCCCAGAAGCACCAGTCGGCCATCTTCCAGAAGCCTGTAGACAACAGTTGTTACGACAAGAGGGAGCCGGAGACGCAGCCTCCCATGTGTCCCGAGGAGGATGATGCGGACTCCGCGTGGCAGAAGCCCATGCAGACCTGTCTGCACGCGATCCCGACGACCGTGCAGGGCACTGCCGGGGCCGGGGGTTGGGAGCCCCTCCCTGCGTGGCCGTCGAGACTCTCTCTCCCGCCTCGACGGCTCGTTAACGCCGGCTACGACGAGGCGTATTTCCTCAAGGACACCAGTGCTTGGCAGAAGCGCGCGCAAGTCTATTGGGAGACGATGAAGTTGGAAGCGGACGAAGTGCGGAACGTTATGGACATGGATGCACTGTTCGGTGGTCTGGCGGCGGCGCTCATTGGGAAGCCTGTGTGGGTGATGAACGTGGTGCCAATCAGTGGAAAAAACACGCTTCCTGTCATCTACGACCGCGGATTGATTGGCACACTTCATGACTGGAAGGAGGCGTTCAATTCCTACCCGCGTACCTACGATCTCCTCCACGCTGGACACCTCCTTTCTGTTGAGGAAGCACAAGGCGCTGTTCTCGACCATATGCTCATTGAAGTGGACCGGCTTCTGAGACCTAAAGGACGGTTGATCGTAAGGGACACGCCGGAAAATGCTCAAAAGATTGCCGACAAAGTGGCGTTGCTGAAGTGGGAGGTGGAGGCGTTTGTGGATATCGACCGAGATGAGATCTCGGGTCCTGAGGACGAGAAGCTGCTCATCCTTAAGAAAAAGTTTTGGGCCACACCGTTCCGGAAAGTCGTGTCGCAGTCATAACGAAAACGGTTTGCATTCTGCCAATCTCGCTCACACTCACGTACACCCGACTCTCTCTCTCTCTCTCTCTCTCTCTCTACGTCCACGCACCATAGGTCACCAACGCATACACAACCGATGAGTTTGACGGCCACCACTTATTTGTTTCCCGCGCGCGAGCGAGCGACCACCTATAAGACGGACGGTAGCCATACTTCCTACTCTCTCTCTCTCTCTCTCTGTGTTCGGTGTCGTGTGTGTCCATGTTTCGACTCCCTCCTCCTCCTTAGCCTCCTTTCTCTCTCCCCCCACTCCGCCCTTCCCCCGACAAACAAACCCCCTCCTCCCCCCTTTTGATTTTGTCCTGTTCGACTCCGTGTGCTGGTCGAGGTATCTCGTGATGGGTTTTGCGTACGGACTTTTCTTAATGGTCGGCTTTCTCCATTATGCGGAGGGGGTTGCTTTCAGTTCCATCCTTCCTGGCATTCACATGCTGCGGTTGCTGTTCCTGTGTTTTTTTTTTTTTTTGATTCATCCTGGCGTGCACATGTGGCTGCTGTTTTGCCGCTGTCTGGCAATCGACCTGTGTTTGGCCGAGTGTATCTCTCTTGTCCATCTTAAAGTAGAAAAGAGCGGGCGGGCGCACGTGACAGCTGGGGACTGTTGGGGGCTGCTGGTGTTGCTTTGCTTGCCGCCGCGCGGATGCGCGGGGATGTTGTACCTGTGCTGCTTCGTGGATGCGGGGCGGTTATTCCTGGTGGTCTTTGCGCGTTAGACTTTGGGTCTGAGCGCCCGTTGAAAAGAGACGGAGGAAGAATCGGAAAGAGAGTATTTTGGCATGCGAGCAGCAAGCAGCGGGAACAAGGAACAAGTCGTTGGCTTTGCGACCGGTCGGCGCTACTGTGCCCCTCCTTGCAATAGGGAAGGAGGGAATTGCTATGCATTCGTCGCTGATGTGTCTTTGCGAATCGTGTCAGTGGAAAGGTCGTTGTCTTTTCGACCGGTCGTCGCCGCCGTCTTTCTTTGCGACCGGAGTACCGTGCCGTGTGCTTCCTTGCAAGGGGCAAGGAGAAATTGCCACGCTTTCGTCGATGCCGTGTTTCTTTGCGACCGACTCTCTGTAGAGGTCGTTGTGTCTGCGACCGGTCGTCGCCCCCCGCCTTTCTTTGGGACTTCCGTATGACTGGTGGATTTGTCTGCACATCGCTGTATGGTCGTCAGTGAGAGGGGTCCGGCACCGTTCTTGCCCTTGTCGTCCTTGGATTCCGCACACTGTGCTAGCTTCCAACATTTGTGAGGAAAGTGCGTTTTCTCATGTGTTGGCAGTGATTCTCAGTCGGCGTGTATTAGATTCTTGCGGGGAGAGAGAGAGAGAGAGAGAGAGAGAGAGAGAGAGGTTGCAGTGGGAGGCCTTTTGCCTACCTTGCGTAGCAGCTATTGTTGTAGAAGTGAGACGGGGAGAGGGGAGGAGGGGGGGGGAGGGATTAAGCGGTGTGCGAAATACAGTCCTTGGCGTTCGTTGGGTTGGTGGCAGCCTATTGAATTCTGAACCTTTGAGAAGGAGAAGAGGGAGGAGAGAATTTATTTTATTCATGTTCTTCAGACTTATCCTTGGTGGCTTGTGAAGAAGGATAATATAGGATTAGCGAGAAACACCTACGTGCGCAGAACCTTGAACTCCATCTCTGGATGCTCTACTTTATAAACTCGTGTCTGGTACACCCTGGCCTAGAACATGTCGATACATGGATTTCGGGCAAGGAGGACAGTGTAGTCGGAGTCGAAAGAACGATATGTCCGTGGTAGGTCGGACAGAGTGAATCTCTGAGAGCAGAGAGGAGGGACTGCCCGACTATCATGCATGCGTATGGGTTTTCTTGTATGGGAATAAAAGCGAGTAAAGGCGAGAGAGGCGGGGCGGCGCCTTTTGGCGCGCAGTGTTGCCAGAAGAGGTCTTGAGGGAGAGATGAGCATGTGAGCTATCCCAATTCTACTTTCCTGAAGTGGTAAGTCTTGAAGTTTTTTGTTGCCTGTACGTTTCTGAGAGAACGGACAATTTACAAATGGGTTGGCGCGGGAACTGCAAGAAAACGCTCCCGAGCGGGCTTGGTCTCGCGTTTTTTGGCGGGAAAAGTGGATATGGACCGCTTCCTCGCTTTTTTTTGCCGGAAAACTGGATAAGGACCGCTTCCTCGCTTTTTTTGGCGGGAAAACTGGATATGGACGGCTTCCTCGCTTTTTTCGGCGGGAAAACTGGATATGGACCGCTTTCTCGCTTTTTTTGGCGGGGAGATTTGTTACGGACTGCCGTTGGCTGATCGATTGGGATGGACTTACCGACTCAATCATTCGACTCGACATGTGGCAAAGATGTCTGAACTGGTTTTCCAGAGATGTAAGGAACCGTCCTCCACGGTTCGGGTGCTGCGGTTAGCCCTCGTCGCCGTCTCTCTCTCTGACGTATCAGCCCCTTCTCGCCCTCCTCGCCCTCTTCCCCTCCCCCTCCCCCTCCCCCTCCCTTCAATTTTCGCCTCTGTCCACCCACAGGCCGTATGCGTCTTCGTGTCCTCTCTCGCGTCATCGAACGCATCTGGCATGTTCTATTTCCTTTCGGGCAAAGCATCCTTTCGTGATCCTTTTACGTGGGGACTTTGCTTTCTTGTGTAGAGAGAGAGAGAGAGAGAGTTGAGTGCAAGCTGCGCTTTATTAATTGGGGGTTAAGTGTTGGAAATACTTAGGGAGTTTCATTTATTGTCAACAAGGTAGGGAAGTATGAAGAAGGCGACGGGAGAGTAAAGGAAGAAGAAAGAAGAGGCGGGCAAAGCATTGGGTCGGAGTTAGGGGCCGCGTGGTCGGGGGGAGAGAGGGGAGGGGGGGAAGGAGCGCGGAGGTGGAAGCGATTTGACGTCCTCCCGTATCGAGCATTAAATTGCTTTGGTAGATTGGTTTTTGTTGCTACTTTGTCGTGTCCTCTTTTTTCCGGAGGCACTGTTTTAAATTACTTTGGGCATAGTCTTAAAGCATCTTTGGTAAATAATTCCCGGTGGTTTTTTACCATGGCTGGTGAGTGGACGAGTAACAGGCGATGTAAACTGCCCGGCGCCTTTTCGTCTCGTAGATGATCATATGTTCAGGCCCCCAGAATCTCAGAGTACCAATTTTTTCTTGTTCGCGTTTTTATTTTTTGTGTCCACTAATCTTGAAGCCGTTTCCAGTTTCCATTGGTTAATCGATTTCCAAAAAAAGAGATCCGAGTGTCTCTCGTCTTCTCTTTTCTTCTGTGGATTGTTTTTTTTCTTTCAGTTCTCTCACCCTTAGTTTTTCTCGATTCTTGCTTTTCTTTTGGTGTTGGTGTTTAGTTTTTTCTTAAATCTAATCTATTCTTCTTCTTGTTTAGTTTTTCTGAATTGTCCTTTGTTTTTCTGAATCGTTGTTTTTTCTGAATTGTCCTTGGTTTTTCTCAATTGTCCTTGGCTTTTCTCAATTGTCCTTAGTTTTTCTCAGTTGTTTTTCTCAATTGTTTTTCTCAATTGTCCTTTGTTTTTCTTAATCCTCTTTCTTAATTCTCTTTCTTAATTTTCTTTCTCCATCCTCTTCTTTGTTAGTGCTTTAAATAATACAAATCGTCTGTTTTTTTTTTTTTCTTTGTTCCTTTTTTTTGAAGTGAAGAAGAAGATTGATCTAAATAGTAAATTCTCTTCTTCTTCTTCTTCTTCTTCTTCTTTTTTTCTTCTTCTTCTTCTTCTTCTTCTTCTTCTTCTTTTTTTCTTCTTTTTTTTTCCTTCTTCTTTTTTTCTTCTTTACTTTCCTCAATTCTCTTCTTTAGTTTTCTGCGTTAGCGAGTTTAGTTCTCGCTATTCTTTCTTAATCCTCTTTCTTACTTCTCTTTCTTAATTCTTTCCAAATTCTCTTTTTTGGGTGTCAAGATATGTGGAGGTGTTTTTTTTCTCCTTGAAGTCGCTCGTATTTGTGGTTGGTACTTAATGAAATCATAATAACATTTTTTTTCGTCTCCTCGTGTCTGCCCGCCCACCCCAAAAAGGCCAGTTTGGAGGCGAAATTGAGTGAAGTACCTGTTTTCGTGTTTCTTTTTCGTAAAAAAAAAAAAAGAAGGCACTTGCGTGGTTGTTAGCTTCTCCTACAGGGGGTTATTTGAGAGCTGCATATGTTTCTTCTCCTCTTCGTTTCCTCTTCATTGGTCTGTCTGCTGTCTCGCCAACAATCTCGATGCCCTTTCGATATATTTATATGGAAGGCTTTGTGAAGCGTTCCATATAAATTGGTCTGTCTGCTGTCTCACCAACAATCTCCCTCATTCCCTCGCTCTCTTTCTTTCTCTTTCTTTTTTCTCTCTTGGCAACGAGGAGGGAAAAAGAAGAAGAGAAGGGGGGAAACAAATGAGAGCAGAACATCGAAGGGAGAATGTCGGAGAGGGCTTTTGCAGATTGATGAGAACGAAGTCGTCTAATGAGAATGTGGAGAAGTCAATAACCCGCGACGAGGAACAAGAGCAAGAAAGAACGGGAATTCCGGGGGAGGATGTTAATATTATTGGGACAGAGGGGGGAGGGGGGGGGGGGGGGAGGGGGGGGGGTGGATTTAGTGGATATCTGGGAAGTGGACGAGCATTTTTTGGGGATTCATGGGTGAGGTTATGCAGGAGGGTCAATGGGTATAATGGGTCTGGGAGGTCAAGGCAGGGTACGAAGGTGAATGGACAGGGAATCAGTGTGAAGACGACTGACTGGTGGACTTGGTAATGGTGGGGGTGAAAGTGTGGTTGAGCGAACATGCACCGCTGATTGGAAGAAACGTGAACTTAGTCTGCAGCGGTCTGCAGCTGGTCAAAATAGATGTGGGGGTCTCATTTCCGGATAACTTCGGATAGGGGCATTTACTGGCACCCGGACATTTTGGGGGGAATAACTGTGGGGGGAAGGAAGGTTAGATTCCTTTGAATGTAGTGTCGGTAGTACAGGGAGAATGCTGTGGCAGAGTGGCATGGAATGTGGCTTTATTCACCACCCTTGGGTAGCGTATTCCATGAGTAGAAGAAATTTAATTTCGCTATTCTTCCCCCCCCCCCCTCTTCCCTTATCTTCCACGAACGCAAAGGTTCCATTTTGCCCCCGCTCCCATATCTCTATGGGTGGTGGCATATGCCCTCCTGCATTTTCTCCAAAATTTCATCGGAGGCTTGTATGTTACAATAGAGGTGGCCCCCTGTGCCCCCCCCCCCCCCCCCCCCCCCCCCCCGCCCCTACTTTCCTCCCATGGGGGCCTCTGCTGCATCCAGTGGGTGCGTCTCTGTGTGCATGCACATGCTCACGGGGGGAGAGAGAGAGAGAGAGAGAGAGAGAGAGAGAGAGAGAGAGAGAGAGAGAGAGAGTCCGGTGTGTGGTCGAACTGATTGTTACAAGAGTATTTCTGTTGGTGTGATAATCTGAGTAGGCATTTAGGTTGCATGGTGTGTCTGTGTGGAGGGGGGGGCGGGGGGAACGTATTAGGGAGTGGGGAGGGCCTCCACTGAACAGCCGGTGATTGTGTGTGCATTCCACCCATGAGAATTGTAAGAATCCTATTGGCGGTATTTACTATTGCTCTGTGGTGGGCCGCTGCCTACAGTCTTCCCCCGAATACAACGTATGGTCATTATAGCTGAATTTAGACTGAAAGATGACCAAATTCGGCTATAATGACCCCGTGCGTTGTATTCGGGGGAAGACTGTAGCCGGGCGGGCCTGGGCCGGACGGACCCGGGGGAGTCTGCCTGGCCAAACCGGGTGGCCTGAAAAGTAGCCCGTATATTTTTTTTTGCCTTTTGTAAAAGGGGTCTTGCTGTGCTTGCCAAGAGCAGCCCAGCACCCCAGAGAATCTAGTGAATGGTGCCTTTTCATGGGGGGTGGGCATGGCAGGGGGGGTGGGCATGGCAGGGGAGGTGGGCATGGCAGCGGGGGTGAATGGTGTGTTGTATGTGTGTTAGAAAGGGAGGAGGAGAAGAAGGAGAAGAAGAAGAAGAAAGGAGGAAGGGGAAGATGAAGACAAAGAAACAGGGAAGAAGAGAACAAGAAGACAGGAGGAAGAAGAAGAACAAGAAAGGAGGAAGAAGAAAGAACTTCGAAGAACTTCACGATCAAGAAGTTGGTGTGAGAAAAGGCGGTCAAAAAAACGGGGACGACGAACAAGAAAGGCCCATTTCTTGAACGAGATGGCGGGGGAAAGGGCAAGATGGCGGCGGTAAGGAGAATGGGGAAGAAGAAGAAGAGGAAGAAGAAGGCGGTTGTAAATAGCGGGCAAGATGGCAGGCGGGGTAAGAGGGGGGGGGGGGGGGAGGGAGGGAGAGATGGTGGGGGGGGGGGGAACACGCGACTGGAGGAAGAAGGAGAACAAGAATGGACCAGGAAGAAGAACAAGAGGAGGAAGAAAAAGTAGAGGAGGAAGGGGGAGAAAGAGTTTTGAGGAGGGGAGGGGGGCTGTGAATGGAGGGTGACGACCGGGTTGCATCAAGTTTACTGACAGTAGAAATAGGGACATGACAGGATCGCATCAAGTTTGCTGACAGTAGAGGAATAAGAGCAAGAAGATGAAGAGGAGGAAGAAGATGACGAAGAAGAGGAAGAACGGAGGAGGAAGAAGAAGATGGAGGAGGAAGAAGAAGATGAAGAAAGGAGGAAGAAGAAGGAAGAGGCGAGAGAAGAACAGTAAAGGAGGAGGAAGAAGAAGAAGTGCGGGGGGGGGGCGGGGGGGGG